CCCCCTCCCTAAGGAACGAGTTTTAGGGAGAGGAAAGGCTGCGAACAAGTTTTATCTGAGATTTCCACCTATTTCTTCCCGGTTTGCGTACTCGGCTCTGGCGTTTTCTGTATTTTCCTTCTCCGTGTGGGCAGGCTGCCCGTTTCATTCACACGGAATATAGGACTAAAATAACTGCTACGCCGTTCTCTGATAAACTAATTAGATTTCAAACCGGTTGTGTCTTTGGTAAAGTCATGTAAAAACACAAAGGCGTCTGCCTGCATTAGAAACACTGCAATAGAAATGCTGGAGAAATAATATAAGTACTTTGACTTTCACACCTGTTTCTAGGTCTCTCTGCGCAGCCAGTGGGTGTTAGCAAAAAATTATCTTAAAAAAAATTATCTTAAATTAATTGTCTTACAATTATGTTAAAAAAACAAAAAAAACCCCAAACTCTTTCTCGTAAAATTTTAAAGGAGGTGACATGGAAACTGCCTGTTGCCCGGAGGCATTTGATTTACTTTAGTTTTCAGCAACTGTTTTTTGGACCACACGGTTTGGGTGGCTCCTGGCTTTACAGAGAGCACAGCACCCAGAGCAGCACTGTGACAAGTGACCCCGTACATCCCCACTGCACGGCAAACCCCATCCTCACCTGGGAACCACCGCGTTTCGGCTACGCACATGGACATACCTACAGTAGATCCTCTGTTTCTGCGTGGTGGACTTTCCCAGGCCGTTGGGTATCGCTGCATGTACTTGATGGGAAGATCTAATAGTGAAGAAACGAATTCAGAGTGAAATCTCTCATCTCCACAGCTGAAATTTTGCCTTTTTTTTTTTTTTTTTCCTTTCTGCAGGCCCAGGATTTAATCCCATGTAGATGTGAAGCTCCTCAAACAGAAACTTCTACTTCAAGGGGTGCCCAAGGCAATGAGGTTTTTAGGTACGTGCATTTCTATATACTCAAATCATTCCAGTGCTGGGTTTGGTTATCCGCCAGCACGGCAAAATCAAAACTGCGTGTAAACCAGCTTCGGTCCTGTGCTTCCGTGGATGGGCAGGTATTTATACTAACCCAGTCTGTCTGTATCCATGCGTAATTGGGGACTTTTCCAGTAATCAGGGAAGAATTCTCGTTTCAGTGGGATTTCAATGGGATGGCAAATGAGGAATCCTGCTGATAAACCTGAAACGATAGACGACTCTGCCGTATTTCATGACTGTATTGATTGTGCAGTGGCAATAGAAGAGATTTTTCTTGGCCACTAAAATTTATCTAGATCCAACTGTGACTAAACACAGTGAGAAAATACTAAGAAAAAAAGCACATGGGACCTTTGTTTTATTTTAAATTAAACGAAATAGCCAATTTAAGGACCATTTTTCAGCACTCACTCAAGACAAGCTCATGTAGACTTAATGTGAGTCTTATTTTATATAGATCATAATTATGACATTAAAAACGAATAATGAGATTTTTTTCCTTTGGTTTCCTGTTACAACACACACAGAGTATTTCACAAATAATTTCAGTCTAAACTGTACTATTTAAGAGAACATTACCTCATAAAACTCCATCAGATTACCAGCAAATTAATCAAAATAAACCATCGAAAATAATAATGTCTTCTGAATACCATCAAATTAGAGCATTGCAAAAAAAGATTGTTTAGAAACCTTTCCTCTTCTCTGCTATAAATCAGTGACTTCCTTCATTGTCTTGGGGTTTTTTTTTTTGCCATTATCAGCCGCAGTTGCAGAGGGACATCAGTGGGACTTCAGCGTGTGGTTGAAATGCTTTGCAAAATAAAGCCAAATGTTTGTAAATGTAGATCTTCAGTCATTAGTTTTGAAGGAGGTGAACAAGGTAAACAAAACCAAAACAAACAGTAAAACCCAGCTAGCAACAAAAATGTGCAAACCTCAAATGCTTGTTTTATTTACATTTCTTAAATGACTCTGTATTTGAATGCAATTAAAAGTTTTAATAACTTGTTCTTGCCTTTGTTGTCCAGGTGGGCCATCACAGGAACAGCCGCTCCCAACGCCTGAGATCCGGGATCTGTGTGAGGGGCGTAGAAGGGCTGCTTGACCAAGGACAACAGGGTCAGGTATTCTTCTAGCTAAGAAGCACTGCACTTTGGGGAATATTGGTCGAATTGCATTTTTACTGTGGAACCGAATGCATTAAAGGACCGTGGGTTTTATTAACAGGCAGAGCTGACTGACCGTCTGAAAGTTGGGAAAAGACCTTGCCGTCCCTCAGGATTTTCAGCTTTGTGCAAAAGGAGCTTTTTTGCTCTTGTTTTCAAAGGGTTCTTTTGCCCCCCAATGGCCAAAATCCGGTTTACAAGATGCTTTTTACGTTTGAAAATGTAGGCGCTACAGGGTCAGCAGGGCAATTCCTGAGTAGCATTAGGGGTGGGAGGACAGAAGTCGGTTCCTGATCCTTTAAAATAGTGGACCAAGCTTCGACCTTCAAAACCTCAGTACGGGGCTCTGTGGCTCCATTCACCGCTGCATTGGAAAATGCTCTTTTTCTTTCTGTAATCCATGGAGCACTGCTCTCTTAAAAGACCATCAATAAAATGATGGCAGGTAAATAGAAAATGTACACACAATCCCACATTCCAAATTATGCAAATAATGTGGGGTTTTTTTAAAAAAAAAAATTTAGCCTAATTTTTAGTTTGGTTGTAAATGGAAATTACTGTGGCAGTGCTGCTGAGCGTGAGCTTTGGGCTACGAGTGATTCAAAGAAATTGCTCTGTGTGTAATACTGTCCCAAAGAAATTAATCTTTATGAAGAGTTTAACTTCTGTGTGTGGTATCAAATTTATAAGCAGTGAGCAGAAAAGCTCTGCGAGCGGCACCCTGGCTTTTCCTGGCAGGGGCAGCACTTGCATTTCTGATAATCTCTGTTTTTAGAAAGCGCTGGGTTTGACACAGTGCGGTGGCGGCTGGCTTCAGAGATGCTCTTGTTGGTTGCAGGTCCCTCCCTGCCGGGGAAGTCACCAATGGACTGTGGACACTTAGCTGAGAGCAGCGAGGAGACCTCGGGCCCCGGCGCGGAGCCCGATTCCCTGCTGCCTTCTGCTGCCGGCAGCAATTCCTGCTCGCCCTCGGTGGCCGGGCAGCGGGCTGGGGCACCGCCGGGCAGACCTGCCGCTGCTAACGCCGCTCGAGAGCGCAGCCGGGTTCAAACCCTGCGCCATGCCTTCCTCGAGCTGCAGAAAACTCTCCCCTCTGTGCCGCCCGACACCAAGCTCTCCAAGCTGGATGTGCTTCTCCTGGCCACCACCTACATCGCGCACCTCACTCGCAGCCTTCAGGATGAGGAAGAGTCACCGGGAGAGGGCTTGGGTACCCTCCGAGGGGATGGATACCTCCACCCTGTCAAGGTAGGATGGCTGAGGAGCAGCTACCACCTTCTCTCAGTGAAGCAGTAAATAGGTGTTCAAGATGCTTAGATGAAACTAAAGATTTCAAGCTTATTTACCTTGCCAGAGTTAATACATGAAAAGACTGCCTAGACTAACCGTTGCATCTAGGTGCCAGGGGCGTGATGGAAATGTTCTGGAGCTCTGTCCCTCCAGCTTCAGGGACTTTGCGTAAAAACATCAAATATAGCATAGGTCCAAACCTAGTGGGACTTGGTCCCTTGGAAGTGAAGGCAGAGGGCAGCACCAGAGGAGTACCAGCACCTCCTCAGTCCCCCTGTCAAAACCTTGGTGATCCCCCACCAAACCCATCAGAACTGGCTGTAGGAGATGGATGTGGTTGGTTGAGGTGATGCACTGTCCCACAGCGGCAACCCCAGCCACGGCTGGGCCTGCTTTGGTTCTCCTGCCGAGGCAGGCAGGGTATGGGAGGTGACGTTCATTACTGGCCATGTGTTAATTCCTTCTATGAAAGTGCTTTTCTGATTCGTTCATTTCGGCTAGTTGGTGTACGTTGTTGTTGCTCTTTCCTTCATGGAAAAAAAAATAAATCACAGGGATGCAGAGGGGACGTGGAAGGGGGAAGCTGCTCTTGGAGGGGACCTGGGGCTGGAAATGGTTCTCAAGTTCTCACTGCCTGATGGGAGCCAAATACCATGGGGTATTTTCTTTGGCTCTGGTCTCAGAGACTGAGTTAGAGGTCTGGGGTGTTTTCTTTCTTTTTTTTTTTTTTTTTTTTTCATTAAGAGCCTGATGAATTCAGAATTATTTTAATTAAGATTAATTTGTGAAGTAATTTCTAGTTCCTGTAAAGTGGCTAATTCACAGAGAGTTTCTTGGTCACAGTGTTGGTCACTGTAAAAAGCGTGATGTGAACGTAGGCTTCTGAGGCCATTTAGATGATTAGCAGGCTCATTAATAATGCAGAACCTTTATATCAATTAGAAGAATGCTATAATTTAAGAAAAAAAATACTGTGATGTATTTCAAAATAAGTCTGAAGTAACTTCTGTTAGTTCCCTTGGTCAGAGTGAAAGGACACAGGTCTCTTGCGGTACTTTTTATCAGCTGCCAAACATTACTGGCAGAAAAATACTTTTTCGTAGTTATTACAGCAGTTAAATGATCCAGATGCACATTTCCCGGGCTACTGGAATACAGCAATACTGGATTCGTCTAGCAATTATTTTTTAAATAATCTTAATTATGTGCCATTTACCTGTATTTAGTTTTGTAAAGAGTCGATGTGTCTAACCAATCTTTCTAATATCCCTGGTAGTAAATTAATTTTTGAGTTGGCACTAGAACAAAAGTGTGACAGATAAATCACAGTGCGTGCTTCAGAAACGCCCAAAGTGCAGGATACAGGACGTCAGTACAGATAAGGACTTTAACTACGCTTGTATATCAAGTACAATAAATACAAATAGTGAGGAGAGTAAAATAGCCAAGTACACCAAACTAAAAATACAGTTAATGACTCTAAACTCAGATGTCTTATTGGTGACGAACTCATAACATCGCACTTGAAATAAAAATACTGAATGAGATTGTACAGTCTTTCCAAGTGAGAATATGGTGCTTCTTTATGTCTTTAAACAGAAGAGCTGAGATTTAACTGCATTATCAAACTCCTCTAGTTTTTAGAGCTCGCTTTCGTTACCCAGCCTGTTCCCAAAAGTATCTTTAAAAAAGTTGTATTCTTTTGGAACACGCTGTCTGTGTTTCAGCTGTTTTTGCATCTGATGTGTATGACAAGTCGTCTTTTCAAACATCCACCTCTCTAATGATGAACTCAGCACGTCAAACTGGAGCTGAGTGCTTCCTCCCAAGCTGCAGTCACTGCAGGGCCGTCGGCAGTAACTGATTTGGTCGGGTTAAGAAATGGCAGCCTTAAGAATAAATATTTTACACTGATATGTATCTGATGATTCCAATAATCAATGAATGGAAAGATGAATTGTCTCATCTGAAATCGCTGGAGCTGACAAAGAACAAGAAGTTGTCAGTGCTGGAGACCACCAAGGAGTAAATATATTAAATTCCCTCCAACACACGTTTTTTTGCAGCCCTGGAGCTGCGGTTGGTATTGTAGGGGCCAATCTCTGCAGACGTTGGTGTGTCCCCGCAGTATCCCTGGCATTGTAAAGAGGAGGAATGCCTTGTTTTATTTTACCAGCAGAGCATCTCCTGTACAGACAGCGGTACAATGGCTGCTCAGCGTGGCCTGCTCCTGTCTGTCAGGTCTCGGGGGGGCTGGCAGCGGTGCCTCATGATTAATTACCAAAGGAGATACCCAGGCTGAGGTTTCCTTACCTGGCTTCCAGTGACATTTTCCAACAAATGACAAAATGGGAACTTGTGGCGATAGCAACAGTTTCCTATTTTCTCGTATTGTCATTCCAACACCATGTAGAGCTTTGCCGAGAGCTGCATTCAGACTGCAAAGATGTCGGGTGTCTCAGCGCTCTCCTTGTCTCTTCTCTTGCAGAAGTGGCCAATGCGTTCCAGGCTGTACATTGGAGCTACAGGACAGTTTCTGACTCACTCGGCACAAGGAGATAGCGCAAACCAAGGAGAAACATCAACAACTTCACAAATCTAATCTCCCTTCTCGCTTAAAAAAAAAAAAAAAGTTATTTATTACACCTTATATATATTTAAGTTAAAAAATAATATCTACAGACAAACTATAATTCCTGAAATACTGTTTGTAGAAGAGAAGGTGTTGATTCTTAAATGTAATTAATACCTCATTAAGTTAATGTGACGCATGCTCAGTTTCTATTATAGAGGACATTGCTGGGGTCTGAACTGTGGGACGAGAAGACGATGGGGGACGGCATCAGTGGCAGAGCTGCAAGCAGGAGAGGTCACCTCCTCCCCGGTGAATCGATGCACTGGGGGATTGGGGGAGATGGAGCGGTGCAGCCCTGGCCGGGTTCAGTGCGGCACAGGCTGGGGTGAGAAGCAAAGGGTAGGTCTAAAAATCACAATCAAAACAACCCTGTGCGCTTTCTTGCCTGTATGAAGCCCACAGCAGAAATCCCACTGACCACAGCCGCCAAATCAGGGCTTCATCCTTCGGGTAATCTACACTGTGTGCTGTTATTCCCAAAAATGCGGATGCATGTTCACCTCGAGTGGAAACACGCCGAAATCTGTCCTGCATAGACACAGCGCTACGAACCCCCAACGCAAACCACTCTGTATGTGGTATTCCTTGTGTTGATCCGTACAACCGTGTTGCATGTTACGGGGTTTACAACGTGTTTGTTACCCCTACACAGGTACTCCTCTGCTCCAGGTGCCAACGCTCCTTTATCGTCTCTTTTAGTGGCTTTGTGCATTCAAGCAAAGGAGCCCAAACAGTTGGCTTGTTTATCGCACGTTTTTCACTTAAACTGCTTCTATATTTAGGCAAGAAAAGCTGAAACTAAATGCACAAACGCCATCTGATGTATCTGTTCTGTAAGACACTGTACTTCTCATAGGGTTTGTTATTGCTGAGGTAAATGTTTTATTAAATATTATCCAGTGTATTTATTGAGTTGCAAATTCTGTATCAGTTTCTCGCTGTACAGGATTGGTAGTTTCTATTAGTAATATTCTGCATTTACAGTAATTTCTTTCTGAAGACTTCATAGTTTGA